ATGACTTGATAGGTTGAGGAATGATTAGGAATGGGAATAGAAGCAGAATGAATCAGTGGGAAGGATATCCCACTGGGAAATCTGACAACTCAACTTTTTTTTTAAAGATTTTATTTTATTTATTTATTTTTTATTTATTTTTTAAGATTTTATTTATTTATTTGACAGAGAGAGACACAGCGAGAGCAGGAACACAAGCAGGGGGAGTGGGAGAGGGAGAAGCAGGCTTCCCGCCGAGCAGGGAGCCCGATGTGGGGCTCGATCCCAGGACCCTGGTATCATGACCTGAGCTAAAGGCAGACGCTTAACGACTGAGCCACCCAGGCGCCCTATTTTATTTATTTTTTTAAGATTTAATTTTTAAGTAATCTCTACACCCAATGTGGGGCTCAAACCCACAACCCCGAGATCAAGAGTCACCGGCTTCCCCGACTGAGCCAGCCAGGCACCCCAACAACTCAGCCTTCTTGACTCATGTTCTCTTTAGAGTCTCTAGCCATGAGCTTAACTTATGTTTTCTTTCAATTTTAAACATCTGCTTTCCTATAGTCCTCTTCTTGTGTCTAACTGACCTGGTGGTGACCACTACGTAGCCTTTGCTTGTTACATCATAACCTGCTACCTTTCATAAGTATTTTTCCCACCTCTCTCCCCTTGCATTTTTCTCCCTGAGAATTACTCAATACCTCAACAAAAATTCCACATCTGCAGAAGTAACGCCTATAAGCCAGGTCCTGGTGGAGTTTTTGGCCATACAAAAAGGAAATCAGCAAGGTGAAGAGCCATTAAAGTTATAAGACAGCATGGTAAGTGTGTACCTTATCCCCTGTTCTCCTGGTTTTCCTGCCCTTCATGGAAGCCAGTTATATAATATTATGTGGTTATTTTTCTCCCTTTTTCTTCAGTTTAAAAGCCCTCTGGATGAGGACAGCAAGTGTCCTGCCAAATACATTCTTCTAATTCTTGTGAAATTCAGAGTAATAACAAAAGAGACTGGAAGCTTCCCAAACAGGGGAAATGGTGAGCAAATGCCAGGGTCAGGAGGGAATGGAGTCTACTTATGCCACTAAAGAAACCAGGCTGGTGGCGGCAGGCACAGAATGAGAAGTTTGGAAAGGCAGGGTGACACCAGATTCGGGCTACAGATTGCTTAAAAGGCCAGGCTGAGACAAGGGCCTGGGCCACTAGACAACAAGGACTTATTATAAATGATCAACTCTGACTGATAAGATAAAAATGTTATTTTTAAAGTTTTTATTTTTTTTTTATGATTTTTAAGTTATCTCTACACCCAATGTGGGGCCCAAACTCATAACCCCAAGATCAAGAGTCACATGCTCCACCGACTGAGCCAGCCGGGCGCCCCAAGAAATCAACTCTCTCTCTCTCTCTCTTTTTTTAAGTAAGCTCTATGCCCATCGTTGGTCTTGAACTCACCACCCTGAGATCAGGAGTCGCATGCTCTGCTGACTGAGACAGCCAGGCTCAGGCAGCGATGTTTCAAAAAGGCTGAAATTATAAGATTCTGGAAGTTGGCAGGCTGGTGAGGCTCAACAAGCACCTACAGAGAATTCGTGTTGTTCCTCTGGGGCACCGCTGGTCAGGGACTACAAAGCCGGTTCCTGCCTTTGAAGAGCTCAAATCAACTGGGAAGGGATAACAACAAAAATGTTGAGTGGTGGGTATGACACGAGTATATGGGCAACACAGCCTGCTGCAGACAAAGTCTGAAGAGGCCAATGTAGTCTGAAAAGAAAGGCAGAGAAGGCAAGGGGACGGACTGCTGGTAGACTAGGGCTCCCCAGCCTCACCTGCCAAAATAGCGATGAGGAAAGGGAAGAACTTTACAGGGCAAAGTAATGGGTTGGAATAGCTATCAAGATTATGAACCAAACAGTTAATGAGGGAGAAAGAGGAATGTTCTCTTAACAATCAATGATCAAGCCAGAGGGCATGGTCGGTCATGTAGCAGGCCAGCTCAGTTTACCTCCAGGACCCTCTCTGACCCTCATTGGCTAAACAGAAGAAAGCAAATCATGTAGGTTGGCAGGCTAGGATGGAAGCTAAAAACCTAGTTTATGGTGATAGAAGATAGAAAAGATTAAGGATGCGGTGCCTGGGTGGCTCAGTTGGTTCAGTGTCTGCCTTCGGCTCAGGTCATAAACCTGGGGTCCTGGCATTGAGCCCACCCACATCCGCATCCGGCTGCCTGCTCTGCTTCTGCCTCTTCCTCTGCCCCTCCCCCCATTCTGTTCTCTCTCAAATAAATAAATAAAATCTTTAAAAAAAAAAGGAAAGATTAAGGATGGAACTGAATGGAAGGAGGCCCCAGAAAAATTCTGGGGATTTTAGAGTCCTAGATCTTATCAGGATGGTAGTCACAAGTGAGCATACAATTGTCAAAACTCAATGAACTGAACACTTAACTGTGCATTTTATTGTAGGAAAAGTATGCTTCCAAAAAAAAAAGAAAAGAAATGCTACAATCAAATTATAATACTTGAGGAGGGGGGGAAAAAAAGGCTAGAACAGGGGCGCCTGGGTGGCTCAGTCAGTTGAGCGACTGCCTTCGGCTCAGGTCATGATCCCAGGATCCTGGGATCGAGCCCCGCATCGGGCTCCCTGCTCAGCAGAAAGCCTGCTTCTCCCTTTCCCTCTGCCTGTCCCTCTGCCTACCTGTGCTCTCTGTCTCTCTGTCAAATAAACAAATAAAAATATCTTAAAAAAAAAAAAAAGACCAGAACAGTTAAGATGCAAACAAAGAGAGAAATTAGACCCCAGGAAAAACTTGAACCAGTCTGAGAACCAAAGGGATGTGGGTATTTGAGGAAAGTACAGACATCTACTATTTGCCAAACCTTGGCCTAGAATCACATATTTCGATTTATCTGCAGACCTAGCACTACCCAGTTAAGTTCACACAGTATTGTGCTGTGGTTCGCCCAGGGGGAGGATGGGAGAGCCGTGACAGAGGACCTGCACAGCCCAGGCGAACAGCAGATTTTGTGACAGTGCAGGGTGGGCTGTGACATAAAAGATGGGGGAGGGGGGCCTAGGTCCTCCGGTCCAGGAGGCAGAAGGGGAGAGAAAGGCAAGGAATGCAAGCTATGTCTGAAGGGATTTCTCCAGAAACTTGAAAATTCAGAAAATTGGGTTCACCTGTGACCCAACTTTCTCTTTCACAAATAAAGGAATAGAATTTTATTTATTTATTTATTTAAGATTTT